CCAGCCATAGGTCAAACTTTGCAATAATTTTGGGACCTTTAACCTAAAATGTTTAGATGTTAACATGTCGTCCTTCCATTAATCCCGAGATTGATCCTGTTCTGCAGAAGAGAAAGCGGAGGCTCGAGTGCAGGGGGCTGCTCTAAATTAGTTTGAGATCATGGTCCAGAGTTTCCACACCTGTGGAGTGACAACAGGGTGCTTCCGAGCCAGTCTCGGGAAGGTTGCAAAGGCCCACCCCGATGCATAGATGTGTATTTTTCTCAGAAAACAATCCGTTGGTTTCATTCGTAAAGAGCTCCCTGAGTATCGCCACTGCCGAGAAGAGAAAAATGAAGGATTTATTGAAGAAACAGGGAAAGACGCTCAGCTTCTCTGTGGTCGGGGAAATACATTTTAAGAATAAGTATTACATGATAACCAAGGAAAAAGAATGATTAATATTTTCTAATTATATTAATGTAATTTTAGGAAAAAATGACCTCCTCCATCTCAGTAAGGAAGTAACATACAGTTCTCATTTTTGAGCCTTCACTTCTGCAAATATCAGTGATTTTGTGAAAACTGGCGTGTAAGTAGCCAAATAGCCTGATTGTCCACCTGTCTTCACTTACATGGCAGGGAAACCTGTCTTTTCATCATTTTTAAATTTGAAAAATTTCCTTCAAAGCAAAAGCCAGATAATTTAGGAAAAGTCTTACACATGAACTCGACAGGTTCAGAAACATCCCATTTTACAATAAATTCCACAAACTGCACCACCGCCCATGGTTTTCTCCAGGCTTGAGTTCAGTGGCTTTCAAATGTCTCAGTACTTGAAACATTTCCACTGAAATATTTTCACCAGAAAATTCATCATCAATCTTCATTACATGTAATAAAATCCCCCAATGTTTTCCACTTCTGCTGAAGATAGAGAAAATGACCGGAAAATGCACAACTACCTTTGATCTGTTGCTTTACCATGAGTACCTCGTTCCTAGGTTTTCAAAGACTACCACTTTGATTTCTTCTGGCAATGTAAAGCCAAAGCACCTTTTGCCTTTCCTCCTGGCATTCTGCTGCAAATTTTGATTCTATTTTCTACAGCCTCGTCTACTTCCTTACTTTTTGTAGGCGTTGCATTGCCCACGGCCTTTTCCCAGTACAATTTCAGAGCTCGGTGCTTCAGAAAACACTATTGTACAGACTCCTCGCGAAGCTCCGGTCTGAGCCGCTAGCAGATTAGGCCGCGTGTACCAAAGCGCTTGACACAATTTCCCAGGCACGACTCTGCTGAAGCAAGGCATGGCTCAGAAAGGGGCATACCTCCTGAGGGTAGATAACAGCGGCATCGCCCAGTGTCCACTGACAGAAGAAGAGTGATGGAGCAAGCTGTGGCTTGACTGCAATGCGCTTGTTTTTAGGAAGCAAAGAAAGAAACACAAGGCCCGCAACCGCATGGATGGATGTCAAAAATGTGCCCAGGGAAAGCCAGACCCGAAAGGGATCACATCTGTATTATTCCATTTATATGAAATTTCAGAACATCCCAAACAAATCTATTGGCATGGACCACGTTTGGGGTAGGACTGGGGTTGGTTGGAAGGTGCATGAGGGAACTTTCTGGGAGATGATAACATTGTTTATCTTGATTGATAACATCTGAGTTACTTAAGCGCCTCTGAAATGCAAGTAAGATGGGTGCATGTCACAGCTGGAACTTATATCAGGTTATAATGTAGGGTTACTTTGGTTAAAAAAACTTTGACTCAATTAGATTATTTTAAAAACATAGTATAAGCAGAGTTTTCAATTAAATTTAACATTTCTACTAAAATATAATGAATTTGTAAAAAATGGATTAGTGCATTTCATAGTATACACATTTTAATGAAACCAAACCATAAATAAATGCTGACAGTCTGGTGGATTCCGCCCATTCTGAAACATTTAGGGGTGAAGTATACTGGTACCTGCAATTTATCTTGAACTACATCAAAAATATGAAGTAGAAAGGGGTAGGGAGGTGGATAAAAATGTGGAAGAGCGAGTGAAGTAAAATATTAATGGCAGAATCGAGGCTGGAGGCATATGGGTGTTCTCTGTACAATTCTTTCTGCTTTTTGATGTTTCAACCTTTTTATAGTAAAATGAAAACATGCGTGAAATGATATTAATGTGGGCAATTGCCATACATCATATAATATATTCCAGGTCAGGAAGCTCATCTACATTTACAGAAGATGCTAAAATGAATTCTAAGGCAGGAAAGAATCTAATATATTCCAGCTACCACCTTCAGCAGAGCAGGACACAGAGGCCAAGCAAGTAAGCAATTTGCTCGAGGTCACACAGCTAGGAGGGGGCAGGCCAGGCCTTGACAAGCTGGGCAGAGAACCCTCGCGGATCTATCGTGTGGAAAAGGTGTAGGCCTCAAGATACAGCATTCATATGAAAGGAATGTTAGGATCTTCGAGTTTTATTTCCATTTAATAATATAGTTTTGCAAATGACAATCTCTGCTATCTACCCAAGCAATTAGTTCAGACACTAATTTTGAAAGTTTATATACATGGCAAGTAAAAAAAAAAAAAGGAATGAAAAGGTACTGTTTTAGGCAGCTTGATTAAAGTCTTTAGCGCCTTATCTAGCTACTGCTTTATTCTCAAGCGTGTCTGCAATGCCCAAATGCTTTGGCAGCGCCAGGAGAAATACGGTTATTAATTACTGTTATCATAACCACTTCACAAAGCAGTAAGGACTTCGAGCTTCACCCCTACTTCCTAGGAGCCAGAGCTTCACATCAACATTCCTCAAAGAGGAGCAACTTCAGAGTAAAACATTCAGATGAATCACCAAGAGCTATTATCACAGGGTTTCAGGGTGTGAGTCACGACCTAAAAGCAGAGTTCACTTGAGTTTAACCTGAGGACAAAGGCTACAACGCCATGTTTTTCATCTCCCTTAAAAAGTGCTTGAATCCTCTCACCCTCCCGTCCTTCTGGCCTGTACCCCAGTTCTTGTATGCATAAATAAATAAATCTTTTTAAAAAAGCGCTGGTCTTGACCTCAAGTCCTTGCACTGCCCTGTCCACTTAGGGCGTGGCCTTCAGAGGCACTGAGTCCTCAAGAGGAGTGAGTCTGTGAGCGCCGTGTTCGGGCCTCTTTCTAGTCCCATCCGGTAGTGTACTCAGGGGGCTCCCTCCGCACAAGCCCGCCCTGGAAAAGTTGCAGAAACAGAAGCAAGCCTCGCCCAGATACCATCAACAGTACCCCTGACTGTGGGCACCCCTGGGAAGCAGAGGCTGTCGGGAGCAGGTACGTGGGAGGTGTCTGCAGCCTGGAGCACACTCTGAGAGGGCAGAGTGAGCAGGGAGGGCCGAGGAAGAACTCTGACTCTGGCTCCAGGCCGGCACTGCAGTGGGCCCAGCTGCCCTCGCCACGACCTGCAGCGTCAGTACCCGCTGAGCCTTAACAGGGGCCAGCAGAGCCCCTCAGAGCCTGCTGGCGCCCAGAGCTGATGAACACAGTTTAGCCACTGTTGATCTGCCGCCCCCCTCAGCTCCCTGGACTGGTGGGCAGAAGCCTGGGGGGTTATCACCGTTCACAGGAGCCGTGGGTGGAGGCACAAAGGTTAATGGAAACCTCTGCTGCCTGCCCTGGGGTTTGCCCCCTTCTCTCGCCCTAAACCCACAGGGGTGGGAGGACCTCAGAGCTTCCTCCAAACACTACCTGCCCTGGGTAGGCTGAAACAAGAACTCGAGTTCCAGGCAAAATAGTTGTCTGCGGAGAGGCAACCAATGGAACAACGAAAAGCAAAGTGTAACGTAATTCAAACCCCTGAGACACCCGAAGGCGGTTCAGCTACATGGTCAGATCTTGGATGGATTCAGGACCCAGCCAGCCAGGACTATGGGCTGTGGCCACAAACAGACCTGAGTTCAATTCAGGCTTTGCTGCTTAGTTCTGTGACTACAGGAAAATCACAGAACCTCGCCAAGCCTGCTCCTTATCTGCAGCATAGGACTCCTTCAACAAGGTGACTGCAGAGTAAATACAATGATTTAGATGACACACCTGGTACGTAGTCACAGTCAATTTGTCCATCTAGGTGACAGAGTTTCAATGCACTTGGAGATTCTTAGGCAAGAGAGTTTTACTTTGTCAGTTGTAAAAGGCTTGATGACACATGGCTTCCAGGAAGACAAGGTGCATGCTAAATGTTCCGGCCAAGTAGGGCCTGTGAAATAAACTTGCAAGACTACACCAGCCCATTAATTTGAGTCCTAACCATATTACCAATTTTATAGTCACTTAAGCAAATAAATGTTTCAAAACTCCCTCTGGAGAACAGCCTAATTTGTAAGTGATTTTTCAAAAACTGGCCATTTGAGATCTTGTGGCTGAGGTTTGAATATTCAGCTTTGACTTGGAGTAGAGTGGCTATGCCAGGGAGAAAACTTGAAGATGTTGTGTCTGCCCAAGCATTCTATTTTTATTAAAAAGATTTATTTATGTATACAAGAACTGGGGTACAGGCCAGAGGTGCAGGGGGGTGAGAAGATTCACCAGAGACAGAGTGGGGAGCAGAACAGGTGGAGTGACTGAAATACACTGCTGAGGGGAGCAGCGAGCGAGACAGGAGAGGTCTGCTGCGCCATGTGGGTCAGCTCCCTGGCCAGCTGGGGATTCGAATTCCTGCTGCAGAGACTGTGGATAGCTTCAGAGTGCTGTGCTTAACCCCTTGCACCACCAGAGAGGCCCTGCCCAAGCATTCTAAACAAAAGAAGCTAAGACAATAGAAACCATAGCATAGAAACAACAAAATCCATTCTGTCTCTCTCTGAATACAGGGCACAAGTGGGAAAGTCACTAAGGAGAGCTAACGGCTTCACATAAATCCTTCAATTCCGGGCAATTGTTTGAAATCAGGCAGAACAACACAAGTTTTACCTGCGTTCCCTTTACACTTTGGTTGACAAAAGTCATCATGTACCTAATTCACAGGTAATGTTCTGCCTTCCGTGGCCCCAATTTTGTGGCTGTGGACATTGTAGTTTGCTTCCTTTCCTCATTGGTGAGCAGCCTTGACATTTCAATAGAATTGATCTTCACTTAATGCTATTCCCCTTGGCAGTGGACTCAGTGTAAGTCTCCTGGGTCTCAATCAGCTAGCTGGTGGTCTTCTGACCAAATGGACTGGGCAGAGCTGAGTCGATCATAGCAAAGCTAAGGACTCTTCCCTTAGACACAAATAAGGGTAACCAGCTGTGAGATGGAGTGAGAGAATAAAACTAAACCTTTGGATGACATATTCCTGAAATCCACCTATTTCTGAGATTTCCAGGTAGATGAGCTAAGAAAGTTTAAATTGGATCTTCTGGCATTTTCGAGCCAAAACTTCATAAATAATACATGTCCATCAGTAAACAGAAATGTATTTACATTTCCAAAATTATATTTGACTTCCCACATTTCTTAACATGGGATTCAGGCCACAGTTCCCTGTAACGGCTCACATAATTAAGGTAGACAATCTTACTCAAGCAAAATGATTCTGTGTCACATCTGAAATAGAACCAGAATCCTGAATTTGCAACTTTGGACACAAGAACTGCACATTCTGCCAGTCTCTATGAATGACAGTTAAGTTGCAAAGCTCAGAAAGTGATGCAAAACCAGAATTAGATCTGACACCCACCTGGTCGGGCCAACATCCATGAGGCCATCAGACAGGTAATCACCTCAACATTCACTAGCCAATGACTGTGTCAGCAGGGACTCTGGGTACAGCAGCAGCTTCTATGTGGTCAACCTCAAAACTTTCTCATTTGTCAGCAAGAAATAGCAACAGGTTTAAGGACATTTGGAATAGGTTTAAACCCGACCAGGTGGGTGTCAGATCTAATTCTGGTTTTGCATCACTTGCCCTTTTCTACCTGTCCATCTTGTTTGGTTTTACATAACTAGTAAGTAGTATTTACTTAAAAATGTCCTGAAATAAAACCATGCCACAGCTTCCCTTTTTTTTAGTAAGAAATTCAATCAGAAACACTGAGGTCCTCAAATCTCAATCCAAATAAATATGAAGACAGGGACAGTTAAATGATTCTCATAGTTTTAGAAGACCTATTCTTAGAAAGCCCAGAAAGTTCTAGCTGGGAATGCCAAGATGGCAGATTTCAGGTTTAACAGGAAGGTTTTTAGCTGTATTAAATGATAATTGAAAATTCTATCATTCATCCAATTCATCCATCTTACATTAGGATGTAAGAGAAGAACACTTGCTAAAAATAATTTAGACCATAGTGTAATGACAATTAGCTATAATACATAAACTTGCAACCGTGACCTGCCCACACTACTAGCATAGGACAAACTGTAACAAGCTGTCACACTGGCAGACCTGAAGCAATGATTTGGGAATTTAATCCCCTTAAAATGATATTATGAAATTCAAGCAATAGGACCTCAACTCAACGATGTTATCTTTAAAAGTTCCACACAGTCAATACATACTTAGTCTGATGTGGGCACTCTTCAAAAATCATGGATATTCTGTTTTTTAAGGGACATAAAGCGTCAACTACAGAAACAGATAGATGAGGACCTGGGAAGTGTCTCTAGGGGCCACCAAAACCTTATCATATAGTAGTCAGTAAGGCTGGTCTTGAGCTCCAAGCCTCAATATATCTATCAGGTGAGTTCGTCTATGCTGGGCCCGCCACCTGATGAGCAGGAAGCATGATGTCACCATGGTAAGAACTCGCCGGGATGCCTCCAAACAGCTTTGTCAGCATGCGTGGTTAAACTGTATCATAGGGATTAAGAATTAAAACCTGTTTGATGGACAGAGTGAGGGAGAGTGTTCCCTTACATTACTAGGAAGCCAAAGAGGGGCTCTTTGAGATAATTTATCCAATCCGCTCATTCATTTTACAGATGAATGTAATTCAAACAAACATTTATTGAGCACATACTATGGAACAGTCATTGTGCTAAGTAACAATAGATACAGGGCTTGCCCTGGACATTCCCCAGAGAAGGGGGACTGAGATCCAGCAAGACGAAGGAAAGGGCCCCTGGAGGGCTGCCTCTAGTGAGGAGCAGAGAGCTTAAGGCTGTCAGATTCCACCAGGCCCAAGTCCTGGAGGGCCTCCAGCAGCTGCTCCCGTGCAGTTCCAATAAAGGAATTCTCCAAGAAGGCGGGCAGGCCTCCCACACCGTCCTTCAGGGTATACAGGGGCACCCGCACCAGGCCCATCACCTGTGAAAGAAGGAGACACTCATAACTGAGGTTGATCACATGCCCGTTGGATCTTTCTAGATCCCAGGCCTCATACCTTAGTGGAGCCGGGTGAGCCTAGCTCTCTGCAGACAAAAGACTGAAGTCAGGTTATCCAGCTCCATGAAACGTCATCCTTCCCACATCACCCAACCTTCAGTGGCCCCTGCCTCCAGGACGCATGCTTGGCCCTACACCATAATCTCAAAACGTGGTCCCCACCCCTGCCAGAGAGGCATCACTGAGGCATTTGTCAAAAATGCATATTCTCAGGTCCTTCTCTTGACCCCACTGAATCAACAATATTGGCAGTGGGGCCCGTAATGGCTGTTTAAATAAGCTCCCCAGATTCTGATACTTGCCAGTTTGAAAACTATCTCCACGAGCGATGGGTTCCCCCGCTTCCCCTGGCGAAGGTGCTGGGTTTCCACACAGGTGGGGGCGGGGGGGGGGCGGGGGTACAGCCCGGGTGCAGTGCCTGGCCACCGCCCGCGGGGAGCAGAGTTCTGTACAGCTGCGGAGGCCGGTAAAAGGGGGAGGGGAGAAACCTCCGCAGGGAGCCCAGGCTGGACACTCAGCCACCCCGATGAACCACGTGCAAAACCCCATCCACGCCAGGAAATTCGGGGCAGGGAGAGCACCGGGGTGGGGAGATGGGGCGGGGCGGGGCTCCGGGCGGACCGCACCTCCAGCCCGTGGTCCGGGGCGCGCGGCGCGCCCCTCTCCACGGCGGCCAGCTGCTCCAGCGTCAGGCGCCGGGCGTAGAAGTGGGCCACGACGCGCGGCGCGGGCCCGGCGTGCGAGCTGCGGTAGTCGGCGCGCTCCAGGCGCAGGCCGGCCGCGCCCTCGCCCAGCTCCTCGCGCAGCTCGCGGTTCAGCCCGTCCTCCAGGCTGCCTCGCTGCAGGTCCACGAAGCCGCCGGGGAAGCCCAGGCGCCCGTCGAAGCGCATCTGCATCTGCGGGGAAAGGAAGCGGGGGTTGCCGGGGGCCCCGGGGAGGGCGCGGGGCGCGGAGCCGCGCGGCGCCCCCTCCTCACCAGCACGGCGTAGCGCAGCGGGAAGCGGCCGAAGAGCTTGCCCGGGTCGGGGGCGTAGAGCAGCGCGTGGCACGCGTGCCGCCAGCCGGGGCCCAGGGCCAGGGCCTCGGGCAGCGCCAGCCTGCGCGCCCCGGCCATGGCGCCGCGCTCGCCGCCCGCCCGGCCCGGCCGCGGCGCTCAGGGAACGCCGGGCCCCATCCCCGCCGCGCCCGGGCGGCCAATGGGAGCGGGGCCTGCGGGCGGCCGCGGCCGGGGCGTGGGGCGCGCCCGCCGGTTGGGCCGCGGGGCCGGGCGGGGCGGGGCGCGCGCGGGGAGGCGCCGGGCTGGGGCTGGGCCCGGGCGCGTGGGGCTGCGCGGGCGGGTCGGGGGAGCCGGGGCCGCGGCGGATGGGTGGCCTGCGCGGGCGCTCCTGGAAGACGAGCCGGAGGAACCGCTCGGGGCGCGCGGGGAGCTCCGTCCGGCGCGCTCTGGCCGGGGCGCGAAGCCGGGGCGGGAGGCCCGCGGGCCCGGAGAGGCTGCCCGGCCCGGGTCGGCGCGGCCTGGCGGGCTCGCCCGCGCTAGGAGGGGGCGCCTGTCCGAGGTGGAGCTCGGAAGCGAGGCGCGCAGTGAGCTTGCTGGCCCGAGACCGGGGGGATGGTGAGCTGCGGGTAAGACAGGACAGGTGGGATTTGCGGGGAGAAAGGCGCAGCCAGCCGGGAAAGAGCTGTGGGTGAAGCACCCCTTTAGGCACCGGCAGGCGAGAGACGTGGGTCCGCGGTGGAAGACGTGGCCCGGCTTTCTGGACTTCACCTTTGAAGTCAGACTCACTCAGACCTTTGAGCTGTGCTGGAAGGGGAAGAATAGCTCCCCCCTCCCCCCTCCCGAAAGTAGGGGCTACTCGGGGCTTGATATTGAGGAGCCAGGATGCAGGCACCCCCAGCCCAGGCCCCGCCTGCTTCCACCTTTCTCGGCCGGCCCTGCGCTCTGTACAGTGGCCTTGGCGCCGAGCCAGACTTTATGCAGTGTTTCCTCAATTCAAAAAAGAAAGAAAACCCTGGATAAATATAGGACTACCTTGTTAAAAGCACAATAAAAAAATGCTAATTCCAGGATCTAGGTCAATTAAATCAGACTCTCTGGCGGTGATCTGGGGCCTGGGGGGTTTTAAAATGTCTTTTGGGTAACTCTAGTAAGCAACCAAGGTTGAGAGCAGAGCCCTGACTCTTACCCCCAACACTCCGAAGATGCCTTGGTTTCTCTTCTAGACCAGCTGCCTTGAAGGATTTAAGGTCAAATATGGCTTTTTCAGAACTCTGGGCTATGGTATTTTGCTTTCCTGCTTTCTTTCGACTATTTCTAATCTATAAAATCAAGGCAATAGCACAAGAAATAAGGACTTTGAAGACCAGAGCTTTTTGGGAAGAATGAATATGAAGCCTTCAAGATAACCCCCCACCTCTGGTCTTGCTGTCACTTTCCAAACAGGAGATCTGAGCCTCTGCTCCTCCCTGGCTCCACCACCCTAAGCAGATGGCCCAGGAGTCAAGTCTGGAGATAGATCACTCAGCAATGTGTGCACCTGACCAGCTACCAGTTCCTCAAGGCACTCAAAATAACAAGGAAAAGAATTAAGCATTTATCCTATCATTTTTATACAGGTTCTGCCTCCAGGTTACCAAATAGTAGATGACAGGAAGTTTCTGTTTGGATGGTTCCAGTTAATCAAAGAAGAAAGGAGGAGACAATCAAAATTTCATGATTTTCTAAACTTTAAAGAACAAATAGACCCCAGGAAATGACATCAATGGCTGCTAATGTCACTGAAAGAAAACCTGTTGTTATGTGCCTCATGACGGCAGAACACGCCGCCTCCTATGACTTATGCTTGCCAAGAAACTGAACATGCGTCTGGATCTAACTACCAGTTTATAAGAAATACAAAAGATTACTATTCTTAAATATCAAGAAGGAGCTAGAATGATTCATGTGGATGATTCTAGTGGATGAAGGTTGGAGACATCATTCTGAATTGGTGTTTAGAATAATTTAGATGCAGGCGGTTCCATACAGCAATGTTTATAGATTGGTGTGCCTGTCAGGGTTAGTGAGCATGCCTGTCCCCTCGCCCCATCAGCTGAGAGGCAGGTCGCAGAAGAACTGACACCTGGGGAGCAACAAGCGCACCTGGTGCTCAGATGTTGGTCTCCAATACCATTTTCCAATAAAAGGAGCCAAGACGTCTAGAGGGAATGGCTGATTCAGGCACAAAAGCGAAAATACAGATGATAAAAACATGAGCCTGGAGCATGTTGCCAAAAAATCACTTTCCATGAGAAGGAAAAGACCCTGTCTTGATGCAAGTATGTTAAAGGGACAGAGACACAGGGGCCAACCGAAAGAGCTCAAAATGGCCAAAGTTGAAACAATTTAAGCAACCAAGCAGAACTGGATTAGAATGTAAAGTATAAAATCACTCCTGTGTCCATGCAGACATACAGAGTAAGTAAATGGGGAAGAGACAGCTGTACGCAGAAGAATCGTAAAGCATTTCTGTAGCTACTGGGCCCTGGAGGAGGTGGGTGACGACTAGGGATGTCCTCCCAGGCCAGGCAGTATGGAAAGGTGTATGCGGAGCTGTGGGGACCAACTTTGTAGCTTTGCGAGAAACCTGACCAGCAGTACCTCAGCCAGGTGATGAAGGGCAACAGGTACAGTCATAGTCACCGTGGGTTGCACCCTTGATAGGGCGTGATGAATATGGCTGCATTTGTGTTCTTCCTCCCAAAAGACACGCCCTGGGAAGCAGCTAAGGGACATTCTACAGATCACTCACCTGCACGCCTCAGATCTTAGGGTCATGAAATAGGAGGATGGTCTGAGAAACTCGCAACAAAGAGGGCCCTACGGCTTCGTGACGACGAGGTGTAGCATGGTCGACCAGACAGTGTCCTGGATAGGAAAAGGATATTAGGTAAAAAGGAAGGAAATCTGAATAAAGTGCAGACTTTAATAATAAATATCAATATTAGTCCCTTATTGTAACAAATACAGATGATAATGTACTTCCACAATTTTTCTACAAATCTTAAACTTCTAAAAAATAGTTTATTTTTGAAAAATCAGGAGGGCCGATCCAGACATTAGGGGACAAATCACCTTATTTTTTTCAATAAATAAATTACAAATAGAAGAGATGGAGTTGGAATCTGTAGATAAGAGATTAGGGAGACATCTGTTGAATCACTGGACTGTCTTTGGATCCTAATTTAAAGAAATAAACTTTGAGAGATGGTAGGAAATGTAAACACCGGACATTTAATATAGGAATTGTAATTTTTTAAGTGTGAAAATGTACCGTGAATTATTTTTTTAGAGTCTTTATCTTTTTGAGATAGCTGCTGAAATATTTATGAATGCTATAAGAATAGCCCAGCAAGGGGGGAGTGCGTGGGAGTATAAATAAAATAAGATTGACCACAAACTGATCATTTTTGAAACTGCACGATGGCTCCATTAAGGACTTAGTCTATTATTCTCTTTACTTTTATATAGTTTGATGTTTTCCATACTAAAAAAAAAAAAAAAGTTAAAAATAAAAAGATGTCTGACTTCACATGAAGCTGAAAGTAAAGGTTATAATTTACATTTGAATGAAACTTTGCATTTCACAAAACCCTTTCATAGGCTGAATCCCTTTTGGTCCAGGAGAGGGAGAGAGAAGTCAGTCTGGTGAGACTAGAGGCAGAAAGAAGACTGACCAAGAGCCACCATCTGTCAGGTAGTTTTTAAATCATTCCACTTAACTCTCAAAAAATCTCCAGGGTATTTCAAATACAGAGTCGTGGTTGAGAGCCACTGAATCTGAAGACTACACAGTGTGGGGGTGGGGAGGAGGGGCCACCAGCCAGAGCAGCCAGGGTGGGGTGTGTCCTCAAGGACCCCCAGCAAGGGCTAGAAGCTGTTGTCATTATTCTCTTAGCTCCTCACACCCCTGAAGTCACACCCCGGAGCCCAAAAGGCAATGGTATTCCAAGAAGCCAGAGAAAATAGCCACCACTGTGTTGTCTGGACCCCATTAGGTGCATCCATTTCACTCTAAAGACAGAACTTCTCAGACACCTCCAGCTTCATGCCTGCATACCCCACAGGCACACAACCCCAACATGCTCAGAATGAACTCAGTAACCTCCTCCTCCCCCCATACCCCCATTTGCACCTCATCGTACATCCCCAGCTCCGTTTGGCCTATCAACTGCCTGCCCAGCCACCAGGCTGGAAACCGAGGCATCACCCTCTGACGACCCACCGATCCAGTTCTCGGTCCTCTGTTCCTTCTTATCATCTCTACTCTTTATGGCCTACCAGGTGACAGTCATGTCTGCACATTTTCTCACCTGCACGGCACTGCCTACCTGCTTGTGCGGCCTCCAGTCTCATCCTCCTCAACCTGCCCTCCCTCTGGTGCCACGATACAGCTCAGCTAGGCCCAGTTCACACCTTTTTTGGGGCTGCCCCGCGACAGGGCATGGTAGAGCAAACTCAGCCGGTAAGACCCGAACTTTGCCTTCTGTCTACCGATCTGCTGCAGAAATGTGCAATACAACAAAGTAAGAGTTTATTATCTCACAGAGTCTGTGGGTCAGGAATTAGGAATGGCTTAGCTGGATGGTTCTGGTTCAGGGTTTTCTGAGAAGGTGGTTTTACCTGAAATAACCTTTTTGTTTGCTAAATACCTCATCTCACCTCTGTCCTTAACTATCCTTGCAGACCTCGATGGGATGCTGCCTGATTCATGAATCATTTAATAAAGCCAATTAGATCTTTAAATTTGTGAATTTTGTTTTTGAAAGCATTATTATTATTAAACTTATTTGGGACTCTGATCTGTCTTGTGCTTGTTTGATTATTTCCCAGGCTAGAAGAACCCAGAGGGGTATGGGATGATTTCTTTTGCACCCTGGCAACCACAACTTTCAGACCTGGGCAGGAAAATAAGACCGAGCGAGAAGAGGACTTGTCCTAGATGCACAGTGAATGGTGACAATGAGTCTAAAATCCAAGTCGTTTGGCATCAAGTTCAAATTTCTTTTTTCCTTCTACAAGTTGTGGCTATCAGTCTGTCTGTGTCGCTCCCTAGTCCTAGTCTCTTCTGACACACTAGTTAGCTGTCCTATCATCTTAAAAGAAGACTGGGGTATGCTTTTCCTCGTTTCCCCCCACCCCACAACTACCATTCAGTTTGTCAGCCTCCTTTATCCTGAGCCCACTGTGATGCTGGAGTCTTTTATAATATAATAGACGTACAACTTTTACTCCAGTCTCAGCCCCAAATACATTAAATAATTAATTTCCATCACTTTGCTTTGTGTTCCTTATCTCTGCATCACCCAAAATAGCTGGTGGCATTTCCTCTGCATAAATAGAAGACAGAAAGGTCAATTGGCATTCGTGAAATATATATATTTTTTACAAAGCAGCAACTTAGCAGGGTCCCTTTGCTTCCTTATACCTGTGACTGTTTCATAACAAACAATTTCCCATTTCTTTAATTCCTCTGCCAATTGCCACTCACTGACTTGCAGTTTGGTTAGTGATAAAAACTCACACTGGACTGGCCCAAATTTAAGACAGAGTGTGGCTGAGGGAGAAAGCATTTTTCCAGGGAAATTGTGGACAGGTATTTCCTTCTCACATCTTAAATCCCGTGCTCCCACCCCCACGCCCAGGTAAGCATGATGAAGTTTCCTTTACAAGGCCTGAGGCCTGGAGCCATGATCCAAAGTGGCATTTCTTTCCAGCTTTCCATTCTCTTATGCCCGAAATGGTCAAACAGCACCAACCCCAGGCAGATGGCCTATTTCAGGCTGCACTTGTCTTCCCACTGCTTGGCACCAAAATGTGCCACATTGGCGCTGGGGTCACTCTTCAGTTGAAAGCATTAAAGGAAACAGCAGATGCAGGAAGACCTCTGGCCTCCTTTTTCTACCTAAAAGCACAAGTTCCTATGAGAACAGCGCCTTCCCTGGCCCAGGGAAAGGAGATCATTCTTATCACTGCAGACAGGATTGATGTTGAGATAGATCCGTACAAATAAATCTACTAAAATCACCCTGATCTTTCATTAGTTTCCCCAATATATTTCCTAGTCACTGTCCCCAAAGTTACCCCCCTGAGGACCTCAAATCCCTTTCCTTTGTCTTGTCATTTTTACACAAATCTGTCACCCTCCTGTCAAAGTGGTGTGTACGCGCTCGGGCCTGTTATCGTTTCTTTGGGGTTTTCACTTCTTTCTAGAAAGCCCCAGGTCATTTTATTAAGAATAGAGTCTTCAATATTCCATCGATGAATTTGGGGGATCCATCACAGAAGGGAATCACTTTTTGGCTCTGGAAACCAGGTCTTGCTTATTGATCATGGAAGAGCAAAGGAACCAAAACCAGAGGACCTGAGCAAGTGTGCCTGACTCCTGGGCAGCTACTGGCATGTCCGAGGTCCATTGACCCCCAGGAGCAGGCTGGCCACAGCACAGTGGCCCAAGGTGGACAGGCACTGCATCCATCCACATGGAGATGGCAGAGAGCAGCCGGCTTCTTGTGGCCAAGCGTGGCCCGATGCTGGGGTGCTTCCCAGGAGGCCCAGCTTGATCCACGAGCTTAGCTCATGGCACAGCCGGGACAGCACTCACTGCCCAGGCCTCCGGGCCTAGCAGGCACGTCTCCTGTGCTCCAACACAGCCTCCCTTTTGACAAGCAACCGAAAGGAAGGAAGACGGTGGTTCCAGCTAAGCGCCCTTCCCCACGACAGGGCCCAGCTTATGTGTTCAATGGTTTTTCACAGAAACTTCCCCTTGAACCGGTTTGGTTTTGATAGCTGCAGTGTGATGGCTCTGAAAGGGGGGCCCTTCGCCCACAGTGATCAGCAACTGCTCCTCAAAGTAGAGGAGCTGGTCCACTTCGAAGCAGTCGCTGGCACGGGGCACCACTTTTTCCAGAGACTCGCGGATCTCTGCTTCGCTGGCGTTCTGCCGCCTTGCTCTCTTGAGGTAATTATAGACCTCCTCAAAGACGCCTGCACCCAGCTTCTGCACAGCTGATCTGCAAGAAAATGTATTTTTAAATTGTTAATCACACAAATGCCATTGTAACCCTGAGATTTTAAAAAAAGTTGGAGGGGGAAAAAAGATGGGCCATCTCCACCTTGGCCGTTCAACAATATTCATCAAATACTTCTAATTTATCGTTCTATTTTCATTTTTTTCACCTGTTGGGTTTCTTTTTTCCTGCACACCCTCACCAGCACTTGTTGTGTCTGGTCTTTTTGATGTGGGCCATTTCCATAGGTGTGAGGAGGCATCTGGCTGTGGTGCAGATTTGCATTTCCCTGACACATGACGATGGGCATTTTGTCTTCTGCCTGTTGGTCCTTTGTAGGTCTTGCCTGGAGAAGTGTCTATTTAGCTCTTCCAGACACCTTTTGAATGGCTTATTTACTTTCCGTTTGTTGAATCGTATGAGTTCTTTATACATCTTGGAACTAGCCCCTTGTCAGATGTCTAATGTGGCAGTGAGTGGCTGAACCCAGAACTAGTGATAGAGGTTCTGACCTGGTGACAGTTCTACCTTTACCTAAGACGCTACTTCAATATCTTCTCTTTCAGAACTTGAAAACAAGAAAATGCCACAAGAAAGCCAGAGGCACAGCAGGAGTTAAATAAATTCTGGCGAAATAATCATGAAAATCTAGCTTAGCAGAAAGCATTAAGAGAACACATAGGTTATTCTCCAGGCATAGTTTAAGGGAACCTAGAAAATGATTTTATAGACTATAAGAAATCCCTGCACATCAAATATGTATGAGTCACTGCAGGAATAGAATGGTGCAATGCATTTTCCCATTAATACTGCTGTCTCAGTGATCATTTGGTGCTAACAAGCACAAGGAATTTTTATTAACGATGGATTTTATGTTCCTTCCTGCAACATCGAGTCTTTTGAGTGGTTGTCTCTGAATCTCATAGCACATTTTTGGGCCTCAGTGGGCTCCCTTCAGGCCAAGCCTATTTGGTTGGGCATTTGCCCATGAGGGAATGAATAATTTTTGGAGTTTTATTGGGAAGCTGATATTTGAAATTCTTTTCACTCTCTCTTTCCACACACATATACACACCAATTCTATTAAAAATCTTTCACACGGAGTGTTTGCCTTTGTACAGCTGATGGCTGGACCCCTTCTAAAGCATGCATCCCTCAACAGTTTGGGGGGCCCTGTGTACCACCTGGCCTGGGTCACCATCCCACCCAGAATCAGGGGAGTTGGCAGAAGCTTCTCCAGGTTTTTGTAAAATCTCAGCTGCCTGGAGCAAATCTCCAACATGTGTTTGGCTACATTTCCAGTTGAACAAATTCATTCAAGAACAAGGGAGCACTTCTCTCCCCTGCTTCAATCACCTATCTTCCAAATTCCTTTACTGACCTCTTTTCATGGTTACTTTTTATTTCCAAACACTGTATGTTATTACTTCTCTGTATTTGCTCATCAACTGTTGACTGCTCTGTGTGCCTTTAATTATCTCCTAGGGCTCTAAAGGAAAGGGTTATGTCTGCTTAGATCAGACTGTCACAGAAAAATTGTCAGAAGAGCAGCAAGGAGCAAATTCTGAGCCAGTGAGTGATGTTCTGAATGGCCTCCACCTCAGTCTGCACGCCAGGGAGAGTTCAGGGGGCTGTGGATTACAAACCCCACTGTGCCGTGAACCTGACTTCCTAAATGGGAGGCCGCCTGAGAACTAGGGGTGGATTTCAGTGGCCTTGCTTAGCTTAAAACTGAACATAGGCACACTCTTGCTCTTGCTCTCTTGGCTTCAGTTTGCGCCCGGGTGTGTCAGCTCAGACAGTACTGCTGGTGGGAAGCATCATCCAATTAATAGTCTCCTCTCTTCCTCTTCCCTTTTTACCTTCCTCCTGCTCCTTTCTCCTCTTCTTTCTTCTCCTCCCCCCTCTTCTTTTTTCCTCCCTCCCCTTCTCACCCCCCTTGCCTGGGGCCTGGGGTGGCTCTGGAGGAGGGAGGCTACTTTTGCTAAGGTGATGAAGGAGGGGCGGGAGTAGGGATGACATTGGAATGCAGGCCTGACTGTTAAAACCCAATTTCTGCCAGGGCTGGGGAGAAGAGCATCCCCAAGGGAGGGAAGAGGAAATGCCCAGGGGCTCTGTGAGTCCTCTGTATGGAGAAAAGAAGACGAGGGTGGGTGGCTGGGGTCTAATTCAGAGGAGAATGACAGGAGGTGAAGCTCGGGCAGAGGCAGGGGCCTTGCAGACTCCTGACTCAGTTGTGGGTGCCAGGGGAAGCCCTGAAGGGCTGGCCTGACGTGAGCCCTGTATGCACACTGTGCTGCGTGATTTGCCAACAGAGAGGAGCCACCGCCGAGAGCAAATCAGCAGAAACACTGCTCAAAATGCTTCAGCGTTCTTTACATAAGGATCCTTGTAGTTGATTCTTCCCCAAGTTTTAGAACCAGGAAAAACTCAGCTTTTTTACTGAACTGATTTCTGGAACTCACTGGGTCTCCCTCTTGCCCGGGCCACCCGAAAGCTCAGAGCTGCGCTGGGACTTACTTGCAGAATAGACTGTCCATTTATCATTCTGGCATCCGATCACAACTTTACACCTCACTATCCATACATGGTTTTATAAAATTTCCTCAGAATCAGCCTGAGTTAAAATTATTTAATAGTAATCACGAACATGGGTAGTTACAACTCAGGAGACTGTAGTTTTTCAGAACGTGTATACGGCAAGCTTTCTGGGTGTGGTGTATTGTAAACGTGGGACAGGCGGCGAGATTGTAGATGTACATCAGCCTTGGCCACTGAAACATTCCAGCAACTTCCTGAGACTGTTCCTAAGCGCACAATGTCTCTCTATTACCTTTCACCTCATCACAAGGGTGTCATCAAATATTTTAAGATATTCTAAACAGTGCAAAGGGTATCGCCATGACAGACACGCACGCAAATACAGAAGCAGCTCCGTAAACTCCGCTCCCAAATCATAATGCCTCTTCCTCATCCCCAGATTTTGACTCTGGTGTTTTACCATCACCAAGCATTTTTAAAATCCTTTTACTATATATGCAAGCATGTATCTCTCATAAATTAATCCTGCTCTTTATTCTTCACATGACATTACATTTCTTTTTTTTTTTCTTGCATTTTTTGCTCAGAGTTGTTGATATTTATCCTTTTGGATTCCAAAGCTGATTCATTTTCCCTGCGTGCTGTTCATCACTATTTCCCCTGCCTGAAGTATTCGTTCTGCTGAAGCACATTTCAGGTTGTTTTGTCCCTTCCCAAACCCACGCCCACTTCTACTTATAAAGGGACTGTGACATTCTAGTACGCATCTCCTGGATTTATAATATTTTAAGCTACAAAACATCAACAAGCGTGGAAAACAGCTTTTCAGACAGAGGGCTGCACCAAGTCATTAGTTTCAGATTGATTTACCATCACTCATGTCCGATTTTTTATAATGGTTTCAAGATGGAGATTTTATAATAAGAAAATACAATCTAGAGAGGGATAGGATGACAGGGCTTTGCTGAAAAGCTCTGTAAGTTACCAAAGAGTTCATCTAATTTAACACCTTCAGCTGACAAAGGAAACTGATAGCAGGAAGGGGAAGCGGCTTGTCCAGTGCTGAGCACCGGGCTACAGTGGATCCTACAGTGGGTCCCCACTGGGATCGGCAGGTGCGTGGAATAAATATAAAATACATAGATTGCCTTGCTTTTCCTCCTGCCTTCTACAGCACACCAAATGGCGTGCCACAAAGCTCGGACCACTTGATGAAGTCGTTGGCTGAGTTACAACTGTGCTCGCCTTCATCAATTCAAACCACATTTTTCATTTTTCAAAAGTCAATTTCAACCCGGTTTTGCTGAAGGAGAAGCAAAGATCAGAAGATGAAATCGATTTCCTCATCAAAACACAACAAGAACAACTGGATTCATAGAGGAAAATGAAAAGAAACCACAAAAGAAAGCGGTAGAACACAAACATGTTTGGAAGAATTTCTCAGCGCAAGGATGAGTGAGTTCTTATTGGAAAATGTGGGTTTCCTTGGAGAAGAGTCAATTTTAAAAGCCTTTCATTTTGTGAGTCTGGGTTCCCTCCGTGACCAGACTTTCAGCAGGCTCCTCCGAGTCTTCCTCCCCTAGAACTGTCCTCTTCTGCTGTCCTGGGCCTACTGAGCCCCACTCAGCAAGAATCCCCCCACCCTTGATACCTAACCCAGTTCCTCATTGCAATTTTCCAGCCACTGACCCCCTACAGTGGCCCATTGGCTATAGATCCCTAGTAGCCTCTGCTGAATTCAGAGCTGAGTTCAAGCTCACTCCCGTTACAGTAGTCTTGAATAAATTCTTGTTCACCTGTTGAATTCTGTTTGGTACAGTTTTTCTTGGACATTTTTACCTCCCAGTGCCAGAGTGTTCCTGAGTTTCCTACCACAAATTGCCTGTAATTCAAGTGGTCTTGTCTTGGTTAACCTGCCACACTCACCCAGTGCTCAGCCAGCACAGGAGCCCCAGCCCAGGAGTCGAAGGTGTCCCAGTTTGGGCAATAAATTATAGCATTATCTACTGGGTATGAAATTTACTGGCCGAATCCTCAATGACAGAGAACCATTTGGATTTTCAAACAGAGCTACGAAAATAACAAAGGACAGAAGAGAGCAGATGCATTAAACCAGAACACCCTCCTTTACTCCTGACTCCTGAGGCAGAGTTACATTTGATTTGTATCATTTTGTGTCCAAATTAAAATATTTCTCCATAAATAAAAGATGATGATTTTTGTCACCTCTCTCGAGCATGTTCACACATTGCCTTTAAGAAACCTGTCTTTTGATGACTACAGATGGGTTTATCACAGCACACCTACCGAGAGTGTGACAGCCCTCACGGAGAGAGGGAGGGAGGTGACAGAGAATGATCGTGAGAGGTTGGGAAGGCCAGTGTGGTTCAGGCCTTAGGAAAACCAGAGGAGACAGGGGACTCAGTCCCTCATTTTCTGGTGAAGGTGCAAAACAATAGCTG